ATTATTGGGAGGTGAAACACTCCAGTATGTAACAGAACAAGTGTTATCTTTTACTTTTATAAATTCTTTTATTTTATTGCATTGAATCATAAATGTTTAATTATAAATAGTTTAAAATGTATTATTATATTAAACTCATTTATTTATTTATTTATTTTGGTGGGAAGCGGTGCCTCATTTATGGGCTGGACAGAAGTCATCCACCTTGGGGTCACTACTTGAATAGCCCTGTTTTAAATACAATAAGTATCCAAATCATAGCTTCCTCTTGTAAAACCTTAAGAAAAAAATTGAGTTTGTCCAAAAAATAGAACTATGAAAATAGTTTTGGTTTTACTCTTAAGTGGTTTAAATCAAAATGGGAGTTCAATTTACCCTCAAGATAAAAGAAGTCAATCTGCAAACGATGCTGAGTTCACTTCTACAGCATAACGCTCTGATAATCTGAGTGTTATCGACTTCACCTCCATGTGGCCACGCAGTCTTTTCTCTGAGCCCCAGAAGGGAACTGGCTGAGGTGGTTCTTAGACTGTACTCCCTCTGGAGTTTGGAGGGAAAATGCACCGTTTGCTGCATGTGGCGAAGATGACATCCTGAGATGCTGTGCTGAGCTTTATCRTCAGTGGAGCTGGTCTTCCAGCTGTGGCTTTTGTTGATAATCGCTTTTGAGCTTGTTCTGTGACAAACAGTTTTTTTTGTGTGTGTGTGCGTTTTGTGAAAACTTGGCAATCATGCATGTGGTGACAACACTGGCTGGAGAATGAAACTTCCCTACTTTGACATTTTTATACTCTGGTAAAAAAAAAGAGAGAAGAAAACGTAAAGTTTTTTTTTGTTTTTGATTTGAAGTGTTTGTGTGGTTTTGMTCATCAGCTGGTACAGAAGAGGAGCATGTCGCCCTGCTCGACACACTGCTCTGTACTCCGCTCYCTCTGTGCTGAAACAAATCTGCTCTGATTTTCGTGTGCAGTCACAGTTTTCTTTGACTTCCTCACATCCTCTGGTTCTCTCTGTGTGTTTTGCACTTTCTCACACACACAAACCACTACCCGTGAAGCCCACCAGAGACCAATTCTTTTCCACAGCCCCCTCGCCTTCTCTCTGCTCTGCCACTCTGTCGACTGCTCTGCAGGCGTTCTGGGACTGGCCTGTCGAAGGGACATAGATTGGGTGTGTGTGTGAGAGTGTGTGTGTGTGTAGGGACAGTGGTCCAGCTTGAGTAAATTGAGTACACGTACTGTGTTTCTGTGTCTTAGCCAAGTAAAACGGGGAAGCAGCCTTTACTCTTGTAGTGCGTTAATTGGGCTGCTATGCATCAAAAAAGGRGGGATGGAGGGCAGAGGAAGCAGAACAGAGAGACAGCAGAACTGGGCTTAAGCCAACAGAGAAGTGTATAGTCTTGTATTATTGATAGTATGAAGCACATTTTTGCTCTAATAATAAGTAGTAGTTCTTTAAAATGTAGCCAGAGAAAAGTAGATCAGTAGATCACTGTAATTCAGTCCTCCTTTTTAAAATAACATTTCTGAATGAATACGGAGGTTTGTGTTTTTCTTTTTTTTATCTTCTATAAGAGTTTTCTGCATGCAGGTTCACACTCAGCCTGTTTCTTACATCATCCTGCCGGATTTCCATCGAACACTGACTCTGTGTCTGTGAACTATAGGGGTGTGATCAATCCCATCGGGGGTGTGAAGGGGGGTCGGACAGCACCCCTGCAGTGTGCCTCTGTAGCCGAGGGCCACTCAAAGCCGGTTCTGTGTGTGGATGCTACAGATGAGCTGCTGTTCACTGGATCTAAAGGTAGACGCTATGCTACATGAAACGTTARGCTCTTTCTGTTACTGACAAAACATTTGCCATTTCTAAACAATCACGTCAACAGAAGCTGGATTCACAACTCAGCCAACTGAACAGCTGAAATGACAAAAAACACAGAAATGTTCAAAAATATGTAAATAAAATAATATAAAGAAACATCAGCTCTGAAAGAATCTCAAACTCTGCCGAAATCAAAAGCTCAAGGAGTAAAGATGAGTCTTGAGCATAGATTTAAAAGTCTCAACAGTCTTAGTGGTCTGAATGCAGAAAGGTAAACTTTCCACAGGTTTGGGGCAGAAATTGTAAAAACTCCAGTCACCTCTGAGCTTTAGTTTGAATCTAGGAACATTTAAGAGGAACTGATTGGATGACCGAAGTGCTCTAAGAGTGGATGTTGAAGTTCACACAGCTATGATGGGGCCAGACCTTTTAGAACTTTAAACATAAGGAGTAAAATCTTAAAATCTATCCCAAAGCAAACAGGAAGCCAAAGGATAGAAGCCAGAACTGGAGACATGTTTGTATTTTTTGTACCTACTTAAAGAAGGTTTGGAAACATGTGTGAAATATGCTCAAAAATATTTAAATTTGACCTTTTTCTATTCAAATGTTTAAATGACAAAGACTTCATGCAACAAACCTTAATGTTGTGTCTGCGTTTTAAATTAAATGTCTTGTTATTTAGTAGACTGTACTTTGCAAGTAATTAAATGAGTACCTCTGCATAGGCCTGTTGGATTACTCAATTAGTCATCAGTAATGGCTTGCTTTYTGCCTTTGTTCTGGCTAGCTAAATTAATATCAATGTGCAGAAAGTGTTACCCATGTGGCCTGATGAYTGTGACGCCATTTTGGCTTGAAAATAATCATCATTTGTACAAGTGAAGCGTAAGACTGAGCCGGTGCTAAAAAAAAAAAACAAAAACATCTGTTTAGTTTATCTGCAGAAACTAGCATGTGGAATGAGTAATAAAAAAAATTAATCAACTTCATTTATTCATTATTAGTTCAGCAGAGCTAAATTAATTTAGAATGATTGGATTGTTGTTGTAAAACAAAGATTTGAATAAAATGTGTTATTTAACTGAAGGATGGGGTTCTTAGTTTATGGGTCTTTTCATGGATTAGAGCTGCAACAACTAATTGATACAATTGATAAAAATCGATTATTAAAAGTGTTGGCAACAAATTTCATTATCGACTTGTTGTGTCGGGTGATTTATGATGGAATTAATGTAATGATTAAGCTTTAATTTGCCAACAATGTCTGAGTGAAGACACTTGCCTTAACCTAATACTGTAAATAAAACAAGATGTTTATTGAAGTCTTGTAATAAGCAGCTGTCTTGACTGAAAGTATTCTTGACATGATCGTCACTGACATGACCATGGTCAAAGATAAAAGACTTCACTATAATAGTTCACACTTTTATTTATTTTCACTTTTCCCTCAAGGACACCTTTTACCAAACTCATGCAGAGAAAATATAAAGAGACTTTCAATAATATAGCACACGTGCGTGCATATTTTTGTGTACATTATTTTTTTTTAACTTTAGTGACTTTCCACCTTTAGAAATGGTCAGACTCGTGTTGGACGTCTCTGCTCTCTTCCTCCAGATCGTACCTGTAAGATGTGGAATCTGGTAACGGGTCAGGAGATCGCCACCCTTAAAGGACACCCAAACAACGTGGTGTCTGTGAAATACTGCCCCTCCTCTGGTTTAGTCTTCTCTGTCTCCACCTCCTACATTAAGGTGTGGGACATCCGCGACTCCGCCAAATGTATCCGCACACTCACGTAAGTTTTTTTTTTTAAATCAGCCACATTGAAAATCTTGGAACTGGGCTTCTTTGTTTTTACATTAATAGATCATATTGTCATTTCTTAAACCCATCCTCCTGTCTTGYCCTCTCTCACACTGTTTGTCTTCTTTTCTTTCCCTGACAGATCATCAGGGCAGGTGATTTCAGGGGACGCTTGTGCAGGCACAACCACCCGTACTATCACCTTTTCTCAGGGCGAATGTCAAATCAACCAGATATCCCTGAACCCGTCAGGTTCTGTGCTCTATGCTGCTGCTGGAAACATTGTTCGCATGTTTGATCTCAACAGGTAGGTTTGCTCAGACAGACCTGCAATTAATTCTAAAAATACAACTATTATAGCTCTGCCTGTTAAGGACTTGCTGTAAATGTCTTTTCTTTCTCTAATTTATTTGGTTGGTCTTCAAATTCACGAACAGTTCATTCATAAATGTATCAGAATGTGTGAGAAAGGATCTAAAAGGTTGTGAAAAGACAGAACAGGAACTCTGGGGTCGGTGAAATRAAGAAAGCCCACATCTCCCACAAGGAGCTAGTTCCTGGCATCTCATGTTAACAACATATTCCCTTCAGATTTTTTTCTCCTAAAGGGAAATGATAAACAGATTGGACCAGGCAGTTTACGCTGAGGGGCTCCAAACTGTTTAATGATGCCTAAGCCCCCCCCCCCCCCCCCCCCCCCCCCCCAGAAATGAAAAATGAATGTATTAAACATTTCTCCATCCTCTGCCGGTGGCATCAGCTTGTCTCAGTGGTTTTACTTAACTCGAGAGAAAGAACAGGACTTCATTTAGTGACACAGTGATGTTGAACTTTTCTAAGAACAAATGTTGCTGACCTTTGTTTCACCTCCTGTCTTCAGTGTTTCATCTGCAGGGGTGTTTTCTTTTTGGGGGGTGTTTTAGGATGCAAGCAACAGGCAAGTTGACGGGCCACATTGGTTCAGTCATGTGTTTGACAGTGGGACAGTCTCTGCTGGGCAAAGATCAAGTCATCACTGGCTCCAAAGACCATTATGTCAAGGTACCACAAGACAGGATCCACATTCTAGTGTCAAATCTGAAACCTCGTGCTCRTCGCACTCGCAATAATTCCTCGTCCTCCCTCCCTTTTTCCTGAGGTGTTTGATGTGGCAGAGGGAACTCTGGGTAACGTGGGTCCAGCTCATAATTTCGAGCCTCCGCACTAYGACGGCATCGAATGTTTGGCCGTGCAGGGGGATGTGCTGTTCAGCGGCTCCAGAGACAACGGCATCAAGAAGTGGGAGCTGGAGCAACAGGAACTCACACAGGTGAGTGGAATTTTAACATTTTAAATAAATAAATAAATAAACAAATAAATAAATAAATAAACAAATA